TTTATTCATAATTATTATTACCTATTTTCACAGTTATTTATAAAGTTATATTAATATCAAGTATTACACTAATTTTGTTTTACGAAAATCTAATGATTGCTCCATTTAGAAAATTTCATTTCCACAACAATCATCAGATTACACTTCTTAACATTATATCTAGTATATGACAAAAACGGTGAGGTGTATATACAGTACAATCCCAATTCCCTAAAAAAAATTGACAAATTCATAATAACAAAAAGTTCAAAAACGAAATCCTAAAATAATACATTCAACTATGAATCTCGCTTAACAACTGTACAAAATATTACGAGTGGTTTCTTCAAAATGTGCGTGGGCGCACCGGTAGAGCGCCCGCTGGCGGTGATAACGGTGTAACTACATCGACCTATGTACAAAATGTCGTTTACAAAACAAAATATAAACTATATACAACATCATTAAATATTCTCAAATGCTGTAACACATTTAAAACATTTCATATTCAACTAGGCATAATTCAGTTAAGTCGCGGCGAGCCGCTGCTACAATTAAATAATTTATGTATACGGCGCGTGCGCACGCGCATCTATCATACAAACTGTACAAATTGCCTACAGTCAGCATGTGACTGGTGTTACGAAAAAACATCAATAATTAGGTACTAAGCAACAAAAATTTACAGTTTGATCAATTTAAATAAAAACCTGATTTCACATTGTCCACTGATAATTGTTAAAATAGTAAAATCATTTGAAATTATTACGTACACCATTGTTTAACTGATAACACGCTTCAGACATATATTTACATTTTGCGTTAACTGCACTCCTAACTTATATTAAATATATTAAAATAGAAAATTTCATATCTACTTTTCTGTTGGAGATTCGACGAATCAACATTTTTCTAATAATCGTTCTAAGGGAGCGGTTAAGATTACACAGGTTTTAGAATATAAAAACGTGCTCTTCCACAGTCAGTTATCTCGCATGGTGGCTCAAAGTGGATCCATTGTCACCAAACACAATAGGCGATGTACATAGACTTACTGCAAATATACTTTTAATACTGATAATTTGTGTTAAAAAAAAACAGATATTTAGTGGTCTCCAAACTTGTTTCCTAACAGATATTTAGTGGTCTCCAAACTGGCCTACTGCTTAACGGACTCTGTCCCTACGGTACCTAGGCACTGCGGGAGAAGTGTCAAAGTGACAGTTATGTCGCGCTGCACACGGGATCATTTCAACAATATTTTACTGATGATATTCAATAGCAAGTTGATTGAAAATAGTGCTACCAAATTTGTCAAAAAAAATCTATTTAATTGGTAATTGAAATTTAGAAGCATTTATTTTAGAAGCACTTTTATTAATCAACTTGTTATTGAATATCGTCGAGTATATCAGCAGAAATAGAGACGAAATAAGGGCCATCCATCCCTGCCAACTCATGGACCTTATATCACTTTTAAATATCAACTCTCGTTAGCACTGAAATCACTAATTAGAAAGTTGAAATAGTACAGCGCCAACAACTGACCTGTGTGTACGTCTCCGTATATTCAAATATTCTGTATTTATTGTAATAAAGATAATATCTCTAACTGTTGCATTCGGTGGTGTGGGAAAAACAGCAAAACATCTAATTACAAAACAAACAAAATCACATTTCATCGGTAGTTAAATATGTAATTTTTCAATTTTCGACCATTATAGCAAAAATCAAGTTAAACTGGTCGATTTGAAGTGAAACAATTGTTGCGAATGAAAACCCGTCAATTGTTTCGAATTCGGGCTGCTCAATCGGAGCGAAATTGTCACCGTAATGATTTGGCAGAATAGTTTTCAAACAAATTAAATGACATTTCTCAGTCTCTAATTCTGATTATATACTCGATATTGAATATCGTCAGAAAGTTTTTATTGAAATTATCCTGTGTGCAGCACGACATAAGTGTTACGTAAACTGTCACTCCTCCCGCATCGCACTGATACCTCAGAAACCGACTCTGTTAAGTGGTAGGCCTGTAGGAAAATTATAAAGAGCACTAAAATTGCTTATAACATGTAGTTCTCAACCACTCGCACAGAACGAACAGTGCTGTATTCAGGACTTCACTGTATTTATATAATATATTTTTTATATAAAACGAATGTCTAATTACAAAATTCTAACATGATCTAGGGCTCTCTTTAACTATTTATCTATCCGTAAAGTATTGGTGTTACTATGTAATTAATATCCGGAACTTCTAGTCAATAAGACTATTCTAGCCATTTTATAAATGTTATACAATTTTACATACATGTAATTAGATTTTTTATAAATTAAATTAGTACGGGCACAATAATGATACCAGAGCCTAAGTGATATTTTCCATGCATTGGGATTTTTTTAAATAAAATATTTATTTTATTTTGCGTCATGGTCACTTTCATCCCGTCTTTTTGAAAGCTCTCCATCACTTCACAATTAATCGCGGATTTACACTTTGGACACATAATTCCAGTCACCTTGCATTTTCATTCTCAGAGGGCTAGAATCCAAAAATATTGCTATCTTTGATGAACAAATTTTCCCATTTTCAACAAATTCAAATTTTCAAGAATTTATGGAAATTACGTTTAGTATACCATATAGTTTCAAAATTGCATAACAGTCTTTGACCTAACATTGTTCAAGTTTAGGGCATTTAATAATGAAAATTTAAGGTGTCTCAAATTAGGAGTTCGAGAGTGTAGCTGGTGCCTTCCGCGTAAATGGAACAACGCGGAAGAATAGACATGAAAGTTTAGTTTGATTACAACCTGTACGTGAATCTGTACTGATTGTGTCAATATGTGATACATTTAAAATTTGTACCATAAACAAATTTAGGACTTAAATGTCTGTCTACGCACATTATACAGTTTTTTTATCTACATTACGTTGTTATTAGATTCTAGGAGTAATACATAGTAATATATATCTATAATATGAATCATAATTAGACGTCCAAAATGTAAACAAAGAGGATAACCGACCAAAAAATACCTTTTAAATAGTACTTTCCTATCGAGTTCTTAGGTTTTCGCGATGGTTACACATAGGATATGAAACTATGTTTCCAGATTTAAATCGCGTATATTTGTTTTTTCAAACAAAACAAACGTTTCGGGCCCTTTACAGGTCCCATGGTCACAGTTGACAGTCAATGTGATTTAAATCCGGAAAAATAGTTTCATTTCCTAGCAGTTTCCTATTTTTGACGATAATAAATGTGTACTAAGTCACTATCTTCAAGCTTTAATCTGATAAAACTTAGAATTCATATTTTGCGATTGATATTTTTATTTAATTTCGTTTAATACAATAATTATAATAAATAAAGTACTAAATAATTTTATGACACTGGTTGGGATTTTTGTGCCGTCATTTTGTTGTGTCACGGACATCGTTCGAATGTTTTCTTGTCTCCGTAGTACGTTTGTTAAATTATTGTGATGAGAACCTCCTCCTTTTCCGATTCCGATAAAAATAGAAGGTTACACCTGCAGTCACACTTGCGACATTTCTTTGTTTACATCTTAGACATCTAATTGTGATTATACTATAACAGCGAAATGTAGTCTTGTCTACTTAGTCTCATTCTCATTTTTATTATCATAATGCCCCATAAACTAGCATAATTTATAGGAAATCTGATTAATTATAATTTGTACATGTCTCTAAATAACTTTAGACGAAGAGTAAGCTAACTAAAGTCACGTAAATGGTACATGTGTTAAAAACATTTTAGTATAAATATTAATTTACATGTTTACACTTGGTCTAAAGCTATTACGATCTTTTAAAACTGTAGATTAGCTTACATTAAGTTGGGTGTAAATAATACGACCAATACAAATTGAAGGAAATACCTTGATCATACAAATTACGAGGCAAGCGCGTACGCGTTTCATTTTATATTAGCTCATTTCGTATTTGCACTCGTCGTTTGTTTAGCCCATTCAGAGTATCTGTCGCAAAGTTTGTGAATTACAATAAAATTATTTCAATTAATAGAAAATTTCAAAAATAATATCCGGAAGACAACATTTTATGGCAAATGATTTGAAATAAAAAGTCTGTTGAAATCACACCCTTAGCAGTTAACGTGTAGCAAAATGTTGCACTAACATACTTTACAAAATGGTGCAAATACCATGGGTAAAGTTTTGATCCCTTAAAAACTGTATAGCTGTATAGTATAACCGAGTCTAAAAACACACAGTTAAAATTGATTTTTAAAAACATTAGAATGATAGAAAATAATTTAAATTTTAACATAAAAAAATCTTACAAAAATAATTTAATGAGTAGCTATTAATTAATATTTGTTAATTTACGACGAAATGAGAACCCTGTTACACTCTGTAAAGGAATGACGTGTACAAATATAATGAAGCAATGAATATCAAAGCTATAGAAAAGCATGATTTTGTATTTATGAGTGATGACTTTATCGGCCCTCCAAAAATCGATACATTAAATAAAAAATTTTGGTGTTACATTTGCACTCGGGACCTTAGTAATTATCGCGTTTACGTTAAGATTTTAATTTAAACTTTATAAATACATAATTAAGATCTAAATAAAAACCTTAACGCAAACGCGGTAGTTAAGTTTCAATGATTACAAATTTACACTCAGGCCTCTCTGATCATGTTGATCAAATTTATAAAACGATTTTTTTTTTGATATCTTGAATATTGATGTCAATAGTTGCTTTGGGGTCTTAAAGTAAGTTTTTAGCCTTTTATTATCACTCAATATGCTTCGCAATATCTGTACACACCTTTAATCGCTGTCAATGTAATATGTAAGTCAACCTTAGTTCTTAAAGCAAACAGCTGTATGTTTGCCACAAGAAAAGTTTGAGAAGTCCGCCTAATAAAAAAATTCGCGGTAAAAATATTAAAAGAAAACACTACACGTACCTAACGCCTTTGGTAATTTATACCGGTTTATTATAAAATAATTATTATATATATCAACAATTATATTAAATGGCAATATAAATACATAACTTGTGACTTGACAATGGATAAGCGCCTTATAAAATTGTAGAGAATTAAAAAAAAGGTGACAAAATGACAGATGAAACTAAAATAAAAAGTTTTAAAAGTTCCTCATGATACAACTACATTGTAGCTGTTATTAAAAATGTTATAAAAACTTGATAATGATAATAAAACAGCTAAGCTACGAAAAATGAGGTTTTGAGGGTAATGGAGTGAGAAAGGAAGTAGAGAAGTCAACGAAAGACTTGAATGGAAGTTTACTTAGAACTGAAATGTAAATGAAATGCCTTTAGCGATAAATCGCTTACGTACCTACACCATATGCCGAATTGGACCTTCGTATTCGACTAACAAACTACTTCTGTTATCTAAGATTACTAGCTTTTTTTTTGGATAGTTTCCCAGCTAAGTTTCTGCATTATTTGTATAAAATGTCATAAAAGAGGTACAATTACAACTATGTCAAACCAAAAACATCAAACTAAGCACTGTCAAATAGTTCTTAGCTCAAAAAGCAAAACATTACACAACAAGTATATAACTTTACATTTAAGTAATCATTAAGCCTATAGAGATAATCCGATGCAAAATTGCATCATATTTGAGGCAATTTTCTTTCACTTACTAAGAAATATTGACAATGCTCCTTCTCTTCAAATTGCTGTTGAACTTAAAACAATTTATCTAAGTACTGCTGTCGCCTGATAAATTCGGAGTCCGAGTTTCACGAACCACTTACTGCACTTGATATTTTCTTGCCTATAACACTTTTGCACTATTCTATGATGGTAACAAACACTTTTCACTGGTTAATTCACTCAACTTTGGTATCATCTACAATACCTCCTCATCTTCCAATTTCCATCCCTAAACAACTTTTTGAAAACGAATCTTAGCCCGTAATCGCCTTGTCTTTTGCACGCTGTTCAATTTGGTCGTTGTTCAGAGCACTTAGACGTCAAATTAATTGCGAACGGCGTTTCGTGTTATCGTTGTAACAGCTGAATATTCTCGACCATTTTGTCCTTGGATTTCGTTAATTTCTCATGTATGTAGAAATTCGTTCCGTTTTCATTTCTCATCATGTTCATAGTTATTTCAACGTAGTATTCTAATTATGTAGTTATTAACGATTTCTAGAAGTTTCAGGGCGACTTGGTGTTTCGAAAATTACATCTAATCTAGGCAGTGCTAAGTGGTGGTATGTCTAGCCGAGGGCGGCGGCCGTGTGGTACAGCTGCATGAGCACTTGCACGTGCAGCGGCAGGCAGGAGAGGCGGTCGTGTGTGCTGCCGTCGAGCGCCAGCCATGACAACGCGTTGTACCCTTCTAGTACATACCTGGAAATAATTTATAACTTTTAGATTATTTTATTATCACTTTACACACACTATTTCGCTGCTTCTGCTTCCACATGCATTTGTTTTTTCATAGACGCCCTTTACCTCTGTGGAGATATGAACCCGTCTCGTAGCATCAAAAATAACCTTGATTCATTTTCTATTATAAAAAAGGAAGCTCTTAAGTATACAAGAATATGCGGAAGCATGATAAACCAAAGGGTGACGACGTTTGGTACATTAACATACCTCAAAACATCAGTAGTAGTCGTAGAGTCCAACGGATGCGTGTTGTGGTCCCTGCGCTGCGTGAGCGAGGTGAAGTCGTCGGCCGCCTGCAGCGAGCCCGCATGCAGGTGCAGAGCGTTCTTGAGGAAGGCCGGGCAGGCGTCGCGGAGGTGCGTGCAGCCGGCCCACCACCAGGCCGGCATGGAGCCCAGCGGCGCCGTCGACACCATGTAGCCTAGCGCCAGGGGCTGCTGAAGGACTGTGCCCACTTGCTCCTGCACACCAAGTCATGTATACAATTACAAATTTGTCGTGTATTGTATTTTTCTCGTAGATTCCCATTACGAAAAGTTCAAATACGAAATATAAAATCATTCCATTGGATCACATTTTTAAGTATTCGTAACAAACAATACTTACAGCAGTACTATCATTTCCATGGTTGCTATTCTGACCAACGTGCTGTTGCCGCTGCGGCGAGCCGTCTCTGCTGACTTCGTCGTCCTGCCTGCGGCCCGGCGAGCCTTGCACCCACATGTTTCCTTCGCCGAACATGTCGCCCAGAATTAAATCCGTCATGTTGTCCTCCCCCATGTCTTCGTCCACCATGTCCACGCCGAGGAACATGTTCATGTCGTTGTCTTCGCCGTTCGCCATCGGTGGTTCGAATGGCATTTGATTCGACTAAAAAGGAATATAGGGTTGCAAAACTTTTTATAACAAAGAAAACTTGCTATTTTTCCAAACAAAAGTGACAGGCTTTTGAAACATTAGCAAACAATCTCCGTCGATTAGTGCCATGGAAAACATTGTAATGATAATTTAAAACACAAACCTGTGTGGTAGCCGAAGTGGGGAACACAAGAATATGCGTAGCAGTGACATCGCGCGGGGTATGCAGGTGGGACTGGATCGACGCCTGCGAGAATCTTTCGTCGGGCGTGAAACGGTCCGCCATCAGTCTGAGACACGAGTCCGGCTCGGTGGACACCAAACACGCAGACAGGATGCAAGGTACGCTCGACGGATAAAGAACTGAACAGCTTTGGCATATTTCTCGTAGTACAGTTGAAGCTCGCGTTAGGTTTTTCCTTGATAATAGCCAACTCCAGCCTGGGAAATACAACGATGGGATTAGCCAGTTATATAGTCCTAAACCACATTTCAGACGTCCAACATCGGCATTAGTTTACTCATTAAATATAAATACTGTTTCTATCGCTAGATGTTACCTTTGAGCTCGCCGTGTCCGATGCGTCCGACGCGGCCGACGACGAGCCTCCAGGGCTGCGCCGCCTGGCTCATCACGCCCAGCGTGAAATCCATCAGTTTCGTCAGTCCCAGTCGCCGCGCGGGCGCAGACCGCCGTCGTCGTGATCTATAAAGAATTAATTCATGTATTTATTTCGTGTCAACTGATATGGTGAGGTCACCTCACAATTGATGTGGGGACGGAACGTAGGGGGGACCTTGGAACACTCGTCTCAGGACATTTAGTTACGAGTGTTCCAAGGGATCTAAAGGTGGACGTGCTTTGCTTTCGTTCTGCAAACCACGGGTGTCCCACAACCGAACATATAGATGTCAATTATTAGCAACGAGGAAGTATTCCTTGCGCAAGTTGTTGAATTGCAATATGTAAATTTCTAAAGTGTTCACTTTGCGAAATATGCGGAAAATTTTTACAAAAATCATCATGAAACATCAAAACACTCACACAACAAAAGAGGAGATAAAATCACTGTCTTAGATTCAATTCAATGTTTAAAAAGGAACCGTGTTTGTGTTATATATAAATTTTATCATTGCTATTATTTAGGTTTATTATTCGAAGTGCGACACACACCTGGCGGGCACATGTATGTTGATGGTGGCAGTGTCGAGCAGCTCTCCGCGCGCGTCGGTGGCGGCGGCCAGCAGCCAGCGCTGGTCGTGCGACAGGCAGTACGACAGGAAGAGCACGGCACTCTGCTCGCCCGCCGCGCCCCACGACTCGGCCACATCCTTCAAAGCGCGCGGCGGCGCCAGCACCCACGCCGGCGTGAACAGTCGGTAGGGGGCGCGATTCTTCTCCTGCAATGCGGTGGGCGGTATTAGTATTTCGAGTGGGCCACAGAAATGCGCGCTCACAATAACTAGCACACGTACGTCTTTGTTGTTGATGAAGAGGTTGGCGTTGGCGGCAGTGCCGAAGCCGGTGAGCGACTTGCCGTTGGGCGCGTGCAGCAGCAGGCGGCGCGAGCCCGAGAAGACGCTGAAGGCCAGCGCGCGGAGGGGTCCGCCCGCGCCGGCGGCGCCCGCGAGGGACACGGCGCCGTTCGCCGCGCCGTGGCCCCACGACTCGCACAAGCCCTCCAAGGAGATGATCTGCGGAGGTCAGTCGGGCGTCAGCGAAGGCGCGGAGGCGACGCCGGGGCGAGGGCGGGGCGGGGACGGGCGGCACCTTGACGAGCGGGCTGTGGTGGTGCAGGTGGCGGTGCGCGGCGGCGGCGAGCCGGAGCAGCGCGCGCAGCGCGTGCGCCCGGTGCGCGTGCGCCGCGGGGGGCTCCACCAGGTACAGCACGAGCGCGGGCGCGCCGCTCTCGTCGTCCTCCCACGGCGTCTGCGCCGCGGCCGCGTCCTCGTCGGGCGCGGGGGGCGCGGGCGGGAGGTCGGGCGCGCTGGGCGGCCGCATGGGCGAGGGCGCCGGCCGCTCGGCGCCGCCGCGCTCCGGCTCGAACAGCGAGCGGTCCACGGCCAGCGCCGACAGCACCGGCACGATGGTGGTGCGCAGCGCGTCGGCGTAGGCGCGCACGTAGTCGCCGAGGCGGCCGGGCGGCAGCTCGCCGGTCCAGTCCTCGGCGGCGGGCGCGGCGTCGGCGGGCGCGGCGCGGTAGATGCCGTCGCGCGCCAGGCGCGCCGCGGGCTGGTGCCGGCCCAGGCGGCAGGCCTCGTACGCGGCCGACAGCTCGCGGAAGAAGGCGCGCAGCGGGTCGGTGAGCGCGTCGCCGTCGGCCGCCAGCACCACGTACACCACGTCGCGCGCGTACGAGTACGGCTCGAGCGCCAGCCGCTCCCAGTGGCGCAGCGCGTACGGCGACAGCGAGATCCAGTCGCGGTCGTGGCCCACCAGCAGCGGCGGCACGGGCTGCGGCTCGCACAGGTCCTCGTTGCCGCGCCCGGCCAGCCGGTGGAACTGGCGCCAGGTGAGCGGGCCGGTGACGCCGTCCCACATGCGCGCGCCGCAGCAGCGCTTCTGGATGGCGTCCTGCAGCAGCGGCCGCAGGCGCCGCATCAGCCGCACCACGTCGCGCGACGAGCGCGGCGCGCGCGCGCCGATGAAGGGCCAGCGGTGCACGGCGCCCGCGCTGGCCGCGCCCGCCGCCGCCCGCAGCGCCCGCGCCGCCGCCGCGCCGCCGTCCGAGTACCTGCGCAGAGGGGCCTCTGTAGCGCCGCGCTCTCTCCCTCGCGGGCGCCTCGCCGCCTCGCCGCCTCGCGCGAGACTCACTCGAGCAAGTTGAGCCGCAGCTCGTCGGGCGGCCGCTCGGAGGCGTGCGCGTGCGCGGCCCGCGCCAGCGCCTCGGCCGCGCCGCCGCCGAGCCCCGCCTGCGCCAGCACCACGCAGGCCACGTCGCCCAGCCCCGCGCCGCTGCGGACGCGCACGCACGGCTCCTCCGCCAGGCCCGTGATCTCCATCTCGTCCTGGAAGCGGTCGCGCGTTGAGTTGTCAGCCGACTTTCGGAGTTCACGCGGCCGGAAAATCGGAAGCGACGATCGGCAAACGGACCTCGTAGAACAGGCCGGCGCGGTGCGCGAGGCGGCGGTTGACGATGGCGCTGAAGCCGCAGGTGCAGCGCGAGGGCTCGTCGTCGGGCAGAGGCGACGCGGGGGGCGAATCCTCGCCGCCGCCGCTCAGGTACGTGGCCGCGTCCGCGCCGCGGATGTTGCCAACCACCTTCACAATTTAACAATTATATTAAGTAAGCTTTCATATACCCTGGATCTTTTTGAGGGTAACATACAAAAATGCATGCATTGTCCTCCTCTTTTATCTCGCGCTTTCTTCATATTACAAGAGAATAGCTTAAGCTCAAATAATATTTTGCAAACAATATAAGTATATAAATAACCGACTTGTATATACAAAAAAATATTTGTCATGGAACCTCTTAACACAACAACCTTGTCACCGTAACACACAATAAATTACTTTTGTTCTACTTATGTTGAGGGTCACACGAATTTCTCCTTGATATCAAATTCGTTTAACGATAAGTATGCCGCCGGGTTAAAAGTGGTTTTGTTGCAACAGCATACCTTGGGCCCCGCGTTGCAGACGCATAGTGTGCAGCTGTCGAAATTGTGATCGCGGAAGACGTTGAGCACAGTGTCTGCCAAAAGCACGTTGATGAGAAGCGGGCAAGCGGCGCGCACGGCGCAAGGCGATTCGGCTGACGCCGGCGACGCTGCCACCGACGCGCTGCCCGCGGACGCCGATGCCGCCAACGGCGTCTCCGCCGCCGGCGCCGCCTCAGCAGAGCGATTTTCAGTAGCCACCGCTGGCGATGAGGACCGCTTCACACCGGCTAGAACACCCATCAAATTCCACTCGTTATGTTCGTTTCCAATAGAACTAAGAGCGGACGAATATTGGAACCCTGTACTTGAATGACAGGGCAGGTCGACGCGAACTACTGTGTTAGTACATATCCCGGGATAACACAGGGAGTAGTGCAACAGAAGGGACAAAATAGATAGAGAATAGAAATTTGTACGTATTCAAGAGCCCCAAACAAGTAAGGGTAATTGGATGGAACATCTTCCAAAATTACGTCTGTACACTGTGATGCAGGAAACAGAAATTTAGAACGATAAGAAATTTCCTGATACATCAAGAAACGGGTGTTAATGTGAGCTGTTTGTAGTTCGTGCGTCCCGCTTACCCGGCGTGCGCTGGGTCTCCTGCTCCGGCTCGCTGGTGGTCTCCTGTTTGGTGTCTTGCTGCCACCGCGGCCTATAGACGGCGTTGGGTGGCAAGTTGACAGGCGGTAGCAATTGGCTGGGCAAGTTGGTCAGGGGCGCATACTTCGATGAGCCCACATACTTGTACATAGTTGGCGGTTTGAACACGTAGGACCAATCCTGTGAAAAGATGCTCTACTGTATTTTACAGAATACTAAGATTTTTGGTAACTTTAACAAAATAAATATTTTGCAACTCGTACTGTCGCACATAATGCGCAATATGTAATCGATTTATTTACTAATTGTCTAGCAATATGTGCCACTCGTAATTGGGGTCGCAAATGCGCCACTGCCTCGAAGTAGCTGGTGCTTGTGGCACTGTACAACAATAGAAGTAAGCAAAGTCGGTACCTCGATGGCGTCGGGCGGCGGCGAGCCCGGCAGCAGCCGGTGCGCGGCGTGCGACGCGTGGGTGAGGTGCGTGTGGTGCGTGAGGTGCGCGGGCGCGTCGTCGGGCAGCGAGAAGCCGGGCGAAGGCTGCGCGTGCGCCTCCAGACTGGGCGGCGTAGGGAACATCTTGCTCAGCTCCTCCGGGCGCACGCAGCGGCCCACGCAGCGCGAGTCCTCCATCGATTTGTTCGAGTCCGGCGGCGTCTGCACTTGCAGCTGGAAGGGGACCGACTCTCTGTATTCTGCAGTGCACTTAGTAGCACACGCGGTCACACAACTGCTTACAACAGCGAATGTTCATCCGCACGCGCATTTACACGCTCGCCAAAGTTCCGATACGCAAGAAAAGAACGGTCGGAAATTTTACTCGTATATTAAAAGTTAGGGGCACCAGAAAACACAATTATCTATACAGTCGCTTTTTTTTAATTTAAATGTTTATTAATTACTGTAATTATTTGAAACACACTAACCTACCTTTTTGTTAGCATGTAAGACTACTAATACTACTGTTATTGTCTGAATTAATAATCTTATTATTATTGTTTTTATTAATAAATTAAATATAAATAGGTAATAAAGGTGCACACTCACAAGTCTTACCGTCTCATCGCCACTGGCCGCATCGTCAGAGTTGTCGAATATCTGGTCTAGGTCTTTCAATGTGGGGCAGAGCCCGTCAGACGTGAAAAGATTCTTGTATTCTTTCGTATCCTCCTGCAAATTCATAACAAAAGTTAAATTTCATGTTTTAGACATTGATCTTAGTTATCGTTAACTTTGTAGAAAAACGGGTATGATATCGATACAGGAGACAGAAGAAGTTAGTCAAATTTCATAAAATACTTTTTCATACGAAATTAATAAAATTGACTAATTTTTATTTAATGCTAGTAGACTGAGTTTCTTATAAGGAAGTTCATTGTATCGGAAGCAAAAAATTAGGGCAGCAGAAGTTGGTCAAATTTAATAACAAAAAAAAACATTCAAAATGAATAACATTTTAACTTGATCAACTGCTGCCGTCCCGATTCTTTTCTTCCAATACAATAATATCATTCTTATAAGAAACTGAGTATTAAAAAAAATAGCCAATTTTATTCGTTTTGTATGAAAAATTTTAAAAATTTTATGAAAAATTTTATGGGGTTTGACCAACATCTGCTGTCCCGATTTTAATCGTCGCGTGCAATGAAAGGATTCCTTCATGAAACTGAATCGATCAGCAACTAAAAATAAATTATCTATTTCATTCATTTTTATGGACAACTCTCGCTTGACCAAATAATTGACAATGTCAAATTTGTTTTCACAAAAAAAAGACTTAATAGTTCCTACGACAGTTTCCTTGTATCTTCTATATTTTTGGATTTCCCCATACTGTCCCATTACTAGTGTTGCCAATGTGTGGAGAATTTCAAATCGTTTGAGATCGATTGGGGTTTTTGTGGGGATTGGCGCTAAGTGCATAGCATAGCGTCAATAAAGCCAATCAAACCAAACGTACATCGCGCCAATCCCCACAAAGGCCCCAATCGAGTTCAAGTGAGTTGAAATTCCCCACACACTGGCAACGCTGCTCATTACAAAAAACACTGTATTTAGTAATATACACTCACATGTGGCTCATGCTTCTCCTGCTTGATATCGAGCAGCGGGTCGGGCATGGCAGCCATCTTAGTATGCTCATGGCCGGCGTACAGGTCTTCAGTCGTGCGCGTGCCGAGAGCTAACTCCTCACGGAAACAGGTCTCTTCACTCTTGAATCGCTTTACAGGATGTTCCAGCCTGTGATATAATAAAATGTTAGTAAAGATGTCAGGTATGGGAATTGCGAGTATAAGTGTGCACGCGCAAGTAGGGCGCCGATATTAAGGCCTTGTGTGACACGTAATGGGTACCATAATCAACTATAACTTGTAAATTGTTTGGTTTGGTATTAGAACAAGTTAAGCTACATACAAATAAGGCTAAATTATTTTATATTAAAAATAAAAGTTTTTTTTTTTTTGCTTCATTTATTTTACTTTTCTTCTTTTTTTTACTGTTTTTGCACGAATTCAAAAACAGAATGTAATTTTAAAATTTTTATTGAATAGATATTCAATTATTTACTTATTTTTTAGTAAAATCTAATTTTCAGTTTCTCCGAAACGTACTGAAAATTACATCCTCAAGCTATTTTTTTTATAACAGTATTGTATGGTTATAAATCGCCGTGATTTCTCGGAAAAAATATTGACTTATTAAAACAAAAATTTAAAAGAGCCCCTTACTCATAAAGTCTGATTGGTTTCAAATACAATATGACTGGCAAAAGATATATTTTGATGGAAAATATTACAAAAAGTGTCGTTTTTGAGAGAAATTAATAAAATTACAAATTGGGATAATGCCATATTTATCAATGAGACATGGTCGGATAAAACGACACAGTGTCACTGTCGTGGACGATACCAAAGCATCGAGCTCGGAAGTACCAATAAAAGGTTCTGATAAAGATTGACAACATAATTGAAAATGAATTTTTGTTTGTTTTTGTTATAATTCAGAATTTTGCTATATAATCACAGATTGTCCTTGTCAACTCTGCTAATGTAACTACACTACAACAACCAGTACATTTGTGATCAGTTATAATACTTATATTAATTATATTTAACTATATAATGTTTTAATAAATGTTAATTGTTCTATCTAGAACTGAAAAGCAATGAACCGAAAAATAATCTAAATAATTACAAATTCATAAAATTTTGAATCGATTTCTTGTGAAAATAGCTTAATGTGGTTACCGATATGATTACTTCTCATCCCTATTTGATAACGATTATAGCAATAGTAAAGTAAAATAACCAAAGAAAATATGTAACCAAATTTGAACACAACGATCAAGTCCTTGAATAATGCTGTCGCGCAAAATTGGTTCTTATTATTACTGTAGCGAGTGCAAAGATTCACATCCATCGTATCTTCAATCGATGTGCCCGTGTTAAATACTCGCAAACCGACTGACTGTTCACCCTTTATTGCAGTAAGTTTTTAATCGATTTTTTTTTTTGGCAATCTGTCAAAGCGGATAAGGTGCGTTTCACTAACCAACAGTATATAACTTTGACGTCACAAAAAACTCTTTCTTATTAAGTAGGCCATAAGGAAAGCTATATAAAGCACCACAACTTAGGCAAGAATTAAAAAATGGTCAAAACCATTTAGAGGTATAACCGAAAGAATATCTTAAGGACAAATAATACGAGCGAAACTTTTTCGCTTTTGTCAGTATGCACTATCATATTATTTATTTTACTTTTGATATAAGCATGCCTATGAAGTTCAGTGATTATTGATAGACAACCATAGACAAAAAATCCAATATTTCATGGACGTTGTTTGTTCTTTACTGTCGTGAAGGGACTAACTCTTTAGCTCCTATATTTTTATCGAGCCGACAGATTATTCACGTTCATTTCATTGTTGTTGATTTCTCCGTTGTATAGATTTTGGAATTGTCTAAAGAATTATGATTAAAATTAATAAATTATAAATATTTATAATAAATACTAATTATTTACTATAATGAATTCTTCTCCATATTAACTGGATGAATCCTCTGTAATATTAAATATTAATTTATTGTGAATGTGAACCCGCTCACATGCACGATGAAAACTTCTTCATAAATAAAGTCGATCGAATCGGTGACGCATTAGGACATCACGAATTGATTAGCAATCGAGCTGTCAAAAATAAAATAAATGGAGGAAATATACCAAAGGAAGTAAAGTATTTTTGCAATAGGTTCGTAATGTACATATAATCGCGTGATCGGCATAAACTGGTATGCAACAAGGTGATGTACTATCCAATTGTAATTTAAAGGATATTGACGAGGATTTACTTACCAAGCGTGCACGGTGGTATAGTCATACAACATGTGTAACGAGTGTTCGTCCTCAAGCGGGTCCATGCGCCGTTCTGCGAGCGGCAGTGACGGTCGCTTCGCCAGCTCAAAGGGAACCGGCTCTGCCTGGTTGGTTACGGCCGGCGCGCCGCTCGGTGGGGAGTCGTTCTATAACGTCCATACATTGTAAAAGCAAGCCGCAGATGTCCTCTTCACATTGTTAAAAATACTATGTAAATGGAAATCAGCATAGCCAGACCACATTTACCTAAGCTTTAAGTAATACACATAGAGTAAATAAATACCACCCTCCGAAATGATTAACAAAATGCAAAAAATGAAAACATAAATATTTTTGTTACTTGCAAACAAACCTTTTCTTCTAATTACATATCAAAAATGTTTAGAAGAGTAGTTTGTATGTATTTTGTTACTAACACTAAATGAATATTTTATCCGAAGTAAAGATTTGAATTGAATTTAAAAAATAAGTTTCAATACATTGACTTACAATTATATGGACGTCGGGTCCGCGCTAAAAAGTGTCCACACTTGTAAGGCGCTAAAATCGTATACAGAGCGCCAAACTCCGCTTTAGTCTTTATTTGTTCTACTGACAGCGCGATACTGCGATGACATTACAATTTAAATTTCGAATAGGTTGACTTGGGACATTTTTTTCGTGGTTTTTGTATTAGACCCGTCGTCCATTTATTTGTAAGTCAATGTTTCAATACGATGAATTTATTGTTTTTATATTATGGCAATTTTTTAATTGTTGTGTCTAAAGTAATGAATAATATGAATAAATAAATAAAGAAATATTGTGCCTCTCGGATCTCTAACTGTAACACTTTTCTTTTTCTAGTCATCACGTAATAGAGTTACGAGTGCGTAGCATAATCACGTATTATGTAAGTGAATATCCCACGGAATGAATGCTTTAGTCAGTTTCTTGTACAAAATTGATATAAGAATGTTACATTCATAATTGTAATTGATAGTTTTTACAACCGCTGAAATTAGTAGAACAAAACGTTAGTTTGTTATTGACTAAGTCATGTCAATAAATCCATCTCAAATGCATCACAGATATTAAGGTCTTCAGGGTTTTAATAATTCCGTAATTCATGAACGTCTCTCAACACTTAAGCTTACAGGCCAAGATCATAAGGGCTTCAACAGCATCCTGGCCGTTGTGGCCAATAAGATTGGGCTGTATCATCCAGGCCCACTGGATTCATCTTCATGTGGGAACGATGAGTTAGCTTATAAGATTAATTGTTTTAATGTGATTCTTAATTTTAACTTCAACTTGAGATTTGTTACTTTTAATGTTAATTGTATTTCTTTTTAATGTTATTTATGTTAATGTTATTTCTCTTTTTTTTTTTATTCATCTTTATTTATATATATGTATGTACGTATGTTACCATCACCGTCATAATCAATCCCACGTCAATCACGTCTCAAAGCTGGGCACGGGTCTCCTCTCAGGCGAAGGTTATTTATTGATATATATTATTATCACTTAGTGTCAGTATTAACTAATTAATTGTATTTTACTTTTAATTTTTTTTAATCTTTTTTTGTTATTTATAACAGTCTGAAATAAATTATTCAATTCGAATTAAGCCCTCAACGAATCAAGTGCAGATTCTTGGTGACTTCTCAAGTTTAACCGATACGCACTTGATTCGAAAAACGCGAGTTAAACATTAAATTTATAGTACCGAAAATGTCAATCGAGTGACGAACACCACCTATTCCATTTTCTTAAAGTGATTTGTTGTTATAGTTTCACAATTAATGCGTACCTGGTTGTATGGTTTGGGAGGGTTTGGCGGTGGCGCGGGAGTCGGCGGCGCGTGCGGATCGGGCGTCGGCGCCGGCGTGTGCAGGCCGAGGGCGCCGCCTGCCACGCCTGTCGACTGCGCACACAACAAACGTTAAATGTGTGATCAACTGTTAACTAATGTGATTGTCCGGATTATATTCGTACTTAAACTGTTTTCGAGTGCAATGGAAATTAGTTTGAAACTGTGTATTCAGAGTTTAAATTTAGAATTGCTTTTCTAAGTTTAAAAACTGATATATTTTTTATGGTATTAAGTGACGCCCGATGAACTAGCGACCAGGTTTCTAGGTGTAAGATATATGTATTGACATACCTGATGATGCGTGGTGGCGGTGTGATGTGGCGAAGGCGGTGGGGCCCCGGCGGAGGAAGGTGCGGACACGGCCGCGGCCGGAGAGGCGCCGCCGCAGCTGCCCGGCGAGCAGGCGCCGCCACCCCTGCGCAATGCAACGAGCTTCCGTCAACGAGGTTTTCAACAAATATAAGCAATGCATGTGTCGCAGACGGATTGTAGAATCAAGCGTTAACAATTAGCTGCGGAACCGTTAATTTGTAATGCTGTTCTTCGTTATGTCAAAGCAGAAGTCGATAACGGATTTTAGTGCAACGAACGTAAGTGTTACAATGCGTTAAATTAAGCTTTTCTTTTCCCAAGGTCAAAACAAAGCTCGTTGGAGGCGATCTACAGTCCCTATTACAAAGTACGATGAATAAGATGAATCTCATTCCAATCGCGCCTTATGTCCGGACATACCTTCGACCGCTGTCTATGAGTGTGTTTTGACCCTATACGCAACTAAGTTTGACAATGTGTCAGATTCTATAATCAGTCTTGGACAAAATCATGTTACCCTCGTGATAGTATTGAAGTGGATATGATTTTAAGAACACTGTGTATGGTGATGAAAAAGAAAATATGTATAAAGTCGTTCTTTTAATTTAAAATATGAAATTCTCAACCCGCACCAAGCTAGAACAGCACGTTAAAGTCGACAACCCAAAGCAGAGAAGAGGAAACGAGTAGCATTTAAACAACCAATAGGAGCTCGTTATTAAAATACACGAAACCCTATTGGTTGTTTAATCACATCTCCCTTCCTACCCCCATTGGTGGATAACGAAATTGAATATATGAAAGATTCCCAATACCCAATTTAACACAATACATAAGTTACAATGCTAAATTATGTACAATAAAAACCATATCCACGTCTATAATCCCAAAATCACAGCACAAAATGGCATGAAAATTTTGCTGTAATGTGAATGAAGACGAGCATTAGAGCCTAAGATGATAGGTAGATGTTATCATGTTCATGGTTTATGGTATCTACGTAAATAAACCCTGCTTTAGTTTTCATTCATTTAGAAGAAAGTTCGGTAAATGTCGATTCTGTGGGTCAATTTTGTAAAACTAAATTATTAACCGAAAATTTGTTATTTGTATTACAAGTGTTTTATATTAGTAACTATTACATGAAAATATATGGTCGTAAATGTTTTTCGACAATATATTTCTGCTGACAACCTCTGTTATCCCATCAAGGCGAATTCAAAACAAAGATAACGTAGCCACATTTAGGCAACAGACACTGGTTCGTGTCCAGTCAAATTGAAGGAACTTTTCTTAGTGTCGAATAAACACTTTTTTGTATCAATAATAATAATACAAACTAGTCGAGTAATTTGACACAAAATAGATGAATATGGTATTAAAAAACATCATGATATTCAATAAAAATGTAATGTATTTATGACATATTTAACTTATTACTATCAAACGGTTAAAATTACCTGCATTCAAGCAAATTCACTCGAAATTGAGATTTTATTTTTAACACTCATTCGTAAGGCAGAATTCCTTGTGAACGACGAGTAAGAAACTCTTGGGGTCGCTCATTCTAAAAGGATATTAGCTCATATTTACAACTTACAATATTTATTTCGAAATATCTCTGAAACGAGAAACTCTGAAAGAGCTAAACGGATGACTCCCGCGTGTTCTTGTCATACTGTTGTATAAAGTTTTATTTAGTTTTAGTAAGTTGATTTAGTACAGAATCGACATTTATGTATTAATTTCCCTTGTAATTGCTAAAACTGTAGTTTTTAAAATGTGTATGAAGGGGAACGAAGCAACGTCTTTAGTCTTCAATGACGCTGCACAGAGATCTTCAAGATGATGTAGGAGCATGAGTAATGGCGGCTTATGATTTATTAATAAGCCCCCGAAACATACACATGATCCGTTTTATATATCGAAATGTTATGAAAAATAGAATGAAACAAAGTATTTGTCATCATAAAGTTTAAAGTTTTTTGCGGTATTATTCACAAACCCTATGTATGTCAACGTTAAGCACGCCTGTCAACATACATGAGTTGCGCATTCTGATGAGCAAGAAAGACAGAAAATAAAAAAAGATCGCAGGTATTCCACAACCTAACGTGATAAACTATAACTTGAAATTTTTCGAAATATCACAGCATTTCTTTTATAACAAATCTAAAGAAAAATAATGACTATACTGACAAATATGTAAAAAAAAATTAAACGTAGTGATAATGGATATACAAATCCATGCTTACATTATACACTTCATATAACGAATCAAATATATTAACTAAAGAATCGCGCGCTTTGGCTTGTGGTCTCAAGTTAATATTAATTAAGTCACAGAGATTTACAAATAGCTAAAGATAGAATGCCATAAATTATGGAATATTATCCATTAAAACTAACTATTTATTATACTTTTAACTGTGGCGCCTAGTAAATAATATTAACCACTACAAATTCAGTTTTATAGCGTAATTGTTAGGTGTCAATCTATTGTTAAGACGCTAAATATTTAAATTTAAATGACATAGTTATTTTTTATTTTTTTGTATAACACCAAGTGACGGGACAAACAAGTCGTGCGCCTGGTGGTAAGCGACACGCCTATCCATAACAGTTGCAGTGCCATTCAGATGTTTACATCGCAAAGATCTTATGGGCACTACCACTGCGCCCGTCACCCTGACACATAAGTTGACAAGTCCCATGTGCCAGTAATTTCACTAGTACTTTACCCATCGAAACCGGAACGCAGTAATGCTCACATTACTGCTTGGCGGCAGTAAAGAGGTAAAGTGGCAGTACTTCCCTGGATGAACTCTTTCACAAGGAGCTCTAATGCTACTAATTAACTGTCACAAGCTCTGTTTAGTGGTGTATATGTGGTAGGATACAATGCACACGTATATAAAAACATTTTGTAATTATCAAAAATGTGGTGCAATTAAGGAGTCTCCCCGCACGACGTAACATTCCTTTCCTGGGGCCTTACCATACGATTCAGTTTAGGACCTAAAATGAATTGTTGTGAGACAGCGCTACATGAAGTGTATATCACCATTCCGCTTTTTTGACGTCACGAATCTATACTGAATTGTAATAAGAGTTCAAATCAAATCCTTTCACCATTATGGCAAGCATTATAGTGTATGTCATCAATATGATAAGATCAGAAATAGGAATAGTGTATATACCTAAATTTAAAGGTATACACATAGAGTAGATAATACCTCCCTCTGAAATCTCGGAATTATTATATTTTTAATGTGTAACTAGTAATTACTGCTGTAATGAATTTAGGAGATTTTTTTGTTTTGTAAATAAAATAATAATTGTGTTTATCGAGTTCTTAGGTTTTCGCGATTGTAACACATAGGGAATGAAACTATTTTTCCGGATTTAAATCGCGTATATTTGTTTTTGCGAACATGTCATGGATAAACCTACACATTCAATGAAGTTTGACAAACCCCAGGTCCTTGCAAAAGAAGTCCGTTATCTGCCCAGGATGCTGCGAGAGGCCATTGAAATTAAAAAACATCCTAATTTCAACAGGGAAGATGGTTTCTCCGTACCACCAGTTTGGGATCCAGTATTTCCTCTAATGAAAAATCCCAAACAGACATAAGACTGCAGTACTAATTAATATGTTTTAGTTTATTCTAATTTCTATTAATAATTAATAATAAATTAAACTTAATAAAAAATTCATTCAATAAAATAATTTGTAAAACTTAATGTAGCGTAAATTGGAATGTTTTCTTTGTAAAATTAAAAATAAGGTATTTAATTAATAACTATTGTAACTATAGTGAAAAAATAGGGTGGTTTGCATTAATATTAGACATAACTGGTTGAAGACTGTACCACCTCAGTCAACCGTGACCATGGGACCTGTAAAGGGCCCGAAACGTCGGTTTGTTTGAAAAAACAAATATACGCGATTTAAATCCGGAAAAATAGTTTCATTCCCTATGAATAATTGTGTTGTTTTGAGTTAAACCGGGATACGTTTTTCAAAGGTTAGGTAAGTATATACTCTACAATTCCGATTTCCTGTGGTCATAAACACACTGATAACTACTGGAACCATTTCCAAGTTACAGAGACGGATTCGTCAAAGTATAATGACGGGACGCCAGGAGCGAAGACGACCGGTTCCTTTTAAGCTTGAAAGTTTCAGGAGTTTCCCCACAAGCTATATCTCACCGACCATATGTAACATGTCTAAAGCTAATAGGCAGTACCGCAAATATAGTTGAAGAAAACAAATTATTTACACCATAACTTTCTTCTTAATGCGTACGGCAAATGGAAATACATTATGGTATCTGTATTAGCCGATAACGACAATTTGTGGCTGTCAAAGACTCGAGCGAATAGATATTTTGTCGATCACTTCGTCACCTAACATCAGGTAATATTGTGACCAGGCGTGCGTTTTCAATTAAAAACAAAATGACATTTTTCCGTTTAGGTTGTAAGTTACATCCCCATGCGTACTAAATGTAACAGTTTTTATCGTGTTTTAATGTGCCCTCTGCTTGTGATTTAAAAACTTCTTTTAGACGTATATAAGGAACAAAAAACTGTAAAACAATGGAATACACAAGGTTGTTTGTCACGCTTTTTATGGTGGTATTCTTTCTTAAGTTAAAAACTTTGATATAAAGGCATTGACTTACAAATAAATGGACGACGGGTCTAATACAAACACCACGAAAAAAATGTCCGAAGTCAACCTATTTAAAGGTACATGTAAAGGAATATGAAAAAGCTAAAACGTTGAATTTAAATTGTAATGTGATCGCAGTACTGTCTAATTTTGCTTGCTTCGCTGTCAGTCGAACAAACGAAGACTAAAGCGTAAATGACGCTCTTTATACGATTTTAACGCCCTATAAGTTCGGACACTTTTTTGACGTCCATATAATTGTAAGTCAATGTATAAAGGTTAAAAAGTAAAGACACAAAACATGCAATTTTATTAACAGGCAATTCAATCATGCACTAGAAGTCTACGATGCAATATAAATATAATAGTATACAATATTTCTATAGGCATTCATATCATGCACTATGTAAAGCATTGCATTATTTTGTGGCTTGTTTTCGGCAGTGTTACATGATAATGTTGATGTGTTTCGTATGTGATGTATGGTATGAAAGGCTGTTCGTGATATAGCACCGACGGTTATCGCAGTAAGGTTGATGTTTCTCCGTTTTTTTTTCATTGGACCGAAAATGGGTTTGGAAATCAATTTACGCATTGCAAATGACACATTAGGAGTGAGAAGCCGGGACTTTCGAGGCGAAGGAGACACGTCAGTCCGACAGAGAGCGATGGGCGATGGGCGGTGTGTGGTGAGCGGCGAGTACTCACGCATGGGCGTTGGCCTTGTGCGGCTTGTGCGCGTGCGCGGGCTGAGCGGCGCGCGCGCGGCGCCGGTGGAAGGGCTGCGGCCGCGACATGCGCACCACGCGCCGCCGCCGCCACCTGCACCACCACATGCTAGCAGACGGGCCCCGACCCGCCCCGACCCGACCCCGTGCAAGCGCTCCTCACACTTCGCTTCTGTCGCCGTATCGCTAGACGAGAACGGTGCGCGGGGGACTCGGGTGTAGTCAAAATAAAGTATGAAAATAGCTTGCACGTTCTCGTCGAAGACGTTGAAGAGATCGAGGCGCTTCAGGATCGATTCCTTCAACTCGTACTCGAGCCAATAGTCTCTATTGGCGAAGCTTTGCATCCCTCTACGGCTTACGTCTACATAGTAACTATAAATAAACTTTAAAACATTCACATACATAACATCTACCTATATCTACACGGCATCTACACCCTGTCGCTCTTTTGCTACACGAAAATTTCACCGATCACTATCAAAGCGTCGTTTTTAAAGTTGCACTTCGACCGTGATCGACGGAGCTTACTGAATCATATAGAAATAAGTAAATAGATAAATAATATAACCAATACATAGGTAAACATAGATGCATGACACACAAAAGTAACTACTTCTAGCGCCTAGCTACTCTTAAAAACAAATTAGGGTCGCGTGCGCAGTGATCGACGTGATTTTAAATGCCGTTTCTCATTAATCATTATTAGGTTATATATCATTCTAAATAATAGTAAATATGAGTAACAATTATTATGTGTTACAGTTTTAAATAACCGAAGTTTTTAGATAACCAGTTAGCTAATAGCTAATATAGTTAATTTAATAGTTACAAATACCATCAAGTACAAAGATACTAGATTTAAAACTCTTATATACTCGGGAGTAGAATGTTTACGTAATGTTGTATGTAACTATTACACTGGACCATGAGAGTTGTTCGTGTAAAGTTAATATAAATGAGAAAGGGCACCAAAACCGCGTAACCATCAGAGCCCGTGCCCGTAAGACATACAAACTAGGCAATCTCAATGCGACAAACGGGACTCACTTCGCGCAGGTGCAGTTGGTCTTTCGGGTCGGGTCGAGGAAATCCTCGCGATCGCCGCCTCCCGACTCGCTGAAGCAGATCTCCGCTGGCTGAAAAGTTTTGACACATTAAATTTAAAAAAAAAAAAAAAGACCGTACAAATTAATTGTAGAGGGAATTAATTAATACTCTTCCGCTTTTAATAAGTCTGTGACGACGAGACCTCCTTCTTCGTCATCCCACTTTTTTATCACCATTTCCTCTGGATCTTGGCCAGTTACATTTGAAATTTTGTCGCTACTCTGTACTAAATTTCCGAAGCGAACAGACGTGCTCGACTTCATATCAAATTCTGACCAGTTATACCACTGAAATCTATGTTAACTTTTTTTTTTTTTTTTTAATCCTATGTTGGTAAATATGTAATTTAAGTAGCTGAGTGCTTTTATATGATTATGTCTGTCTTTATATCGTTATTTTATTTTGTTACAGCCTTCACCTTTCTTCCTTTTTAAACTGTAATATACGTATTGTTAGATTATGTAAGTAACTTAAGATTAGTTACAATGTCTTAAATGATCGGATATTGTTTTTCAAGTAACCATTACTTTTTGTTATTTTTTTAACTAAATTCTTGTTGCTATAAGCCGCATTGTTATTCGATTAATAAAGTGGGCATCCTAATTCAATAAACATGTAATTGTTAATTGTAAGTGACGGCAAATATTTTTTTTCCTACTCATTACCTAATCCTCTTTTACAATAAATGATGTGGACCTAGCCTTAAAACATTCACATACATAACATCTACCTATATCTACACGGCATCTACACCCTGTCGCTCTTTTGCTACACGAAAATTTCACCGATCACTATCAAAGCGTCGTTTTTAAAGTTGCACTTTGACCGTGATCGACGGAGCTTACTGAATCATATAGAAATAAGTAAATAGATAAATAATATAACCAATACATAGGTAAACATAGATGCATGACACACAAAAGTAGCCTTTTTTTTTCTTTTTTTTTAAAGAGGGTTTTATCTTGCCAACCTCACAGGATTATTACTGAGGTATTACAATCTAGGTATTGCTAATTACACAACGTTATAAAACATCCTGGCCTCCTTAGACAAGGGGCGGGCCAAGATGCAGTTGCATATGCCTACTGCATACAGCGTTAAGTGCGGAATCTGTTGTCTTAACACCTCACTCCAAACACACTCCAGGACCATGACTTTAATTTGATTTTTTTTATTATAACATCAAAATTTTTTGATTACTCAAAACGTCTGCCCACAAGTTAATGACGCACGCGCCACCTCAATCAGATAACTTAGTGTGTTTTCAATATCATCATGCTTAACCCTTAACGTCTTACTATTGTCAAAAACATCATGATATTCGTTCGTTGGGATCCGATGGTGGATACCTGGCGAGCTATAGTACAGGTCCAACCTAGTTTTTAGGCACCAGTTTTCACAATTTAATTGTACCATGTTTCTTAGGTTCATTACCTTGTAAAATCTATTGTCTTTGTATATAGAATCGATTCAGTATGGGAAAAAATTAAATTCGAACTGCTGTAGTATCGATTCTTAATAATAATAACGCACACACTCAACATAGCCCCGCACTAGGGAAACCCTGTGTTGCGGGTGCCATGGACATACACATAGACAACCACAAATTACACCCAAACTCACGAGAGAAATAAATGTAGCCCATACAAATTTTCTCCAGATCCAGGAATCGAACCTGCGACCTCTGCTAACCGAAGACTGTAACCGTTCGGCCTCAGAGGCAGTTTAATGTTGACAATAGAGTCACTCATGCTGGGACAGTACGAGTCGGGGACTTCATATGGTCTCTTCGACATCGTGCAAGCTTATTTGTGACAATGTTTTTCATCACCATAAGTGAAAATATTTATAAATTCGTACGTAGTTTAAAAAATTAAGTTACAGGTTTTCGGCACACGGATTTGAACCTTCAACCGCTCTATAGATTTTAAGACTTTCGTGGTTATTCACTAAATGGTTATCACTAATTTCAGGTTTCTTACCACGGTATGACTTCTTTTTATTTTCCCGATATTTCGGAACGGTTGCACGCTCCATGGTCACGGGTTGACTGGACGGCGGCAGATGACAGCTTTAAGAGCAGACATATCTGTCTACACTCTTGCGCTGTGCGACTACCATCTTCGCGATTTGCTGTAGCGTTACCATTGTCACTCATTAAAGCTTAAAGCTGTCATCTGCCGCCGTCCAGTCAATCCGTGACCATGGAGCGTGCAACCGTTCCGAAATATCGGGAAAATAAAAAGAAGTCATACCGTGGTAAGAAACCTGAAATTAGTGATAATCCTTCAACCGCTCAATTGAGGAGTATGTTTTCCCACTCTTCAATATCATAGTTAAACATAATGTCCAACAATCACTTCAATTATCTGGTTTCAAATGAGGTCATTTCCTGTATTGATAAGTAGTAAGTAAAATTAAGTAGTATTCTACTTAATACTACTTAATTAAAACCAGAGCAAAAAAATTAACTTAAAAGCAAATAAATGAACAAATGAACGAACTGTAAGGAGCTTGATTATTTGTCGATGTAGAAAATAAATTTTGAACGCAGACCAGTCTTCGAGCTGGTTGGAATTGTTCTCCTTAATAATATAGGAAGTGTACTCAGACATATCTGACGCTTTCAGGATATGTCTGTTTCCCAACAGCTTCCGTGGGAATAGTTGTAAATTGTGTTAGTATTAGCGTACCTGGTGCGGGCTGGGCGTGGTCAGCGCCTGCAAAGCCTGGTGCGCCAACGCGTCGCCGCTGCCTTGCGCGCGCGCGCACATCTCCGTCACCAGCACGTACGGCACCGGGTAGCGCATGCGTACGCCGCCGCACGCCACCTGCCGGCCAACAACGCGTTACCACACTCCACTTCTCTACCTGCCACTTGCAGTGGTGCGGGGCCAGCCACCGCTATCTGTACTAAACTAACCACTATGAAATATATTTATTAGTAAGTAAAACAAATCACTAGCGAGTCCAAAAGACGCATTTATTATCACTGTATTATTTCACATTTTGCCTGAATGATATTTAGCATAGGAAATGATACTGCTGACTATAGAGTCTGTGAAAAAATAGTTTCGTTTCCCATGTGTGTTGTACCTAACGCAAAAACCTAAAAACTTGATACTAAGAAGTTGACCTTGATGACGGCCTTGACTGCGCCGCTGGACAAAGAAACAAGCCATAAAATTCTTGCTTTTCACGCTTAGCAGCAGGTCTGAGGCCTACCAGGTTGACATGGATACCACTAGAGCCAACTAACGTCACAAATGCATTCCTATAAGCTAACCGAAGGAAAAATTGTAACACCGCGACGTAGGAAACAATTCCAAAAAATGGCGCCATCTAGCGGTGTAACCGAAGTATTAAATATCTAAGGACATTTCATATTCAAACTTTTTTTCAATTAACAGTGACAAAAGAACTATAACATCGAGTTAACAAATATTAATAACTACTAACAAATATTGCAAATCATACCTATTTACGGCAACAGGCAGTAAATATAAATTTATCGGGAAAACAAACGCGTTGTCAATAACTTTGACTTTAGGTATTGACTAATAGTTTCATATTTCATTGTCATAAATACATTAGTCATTAATGCAAAAACTTATAGACACGGCAACAGCACTCGGAAACATTCGTGATTCCCGAGTTTTCCCGATGTGTAATGTTTACGGCCTGGTATTGTACATTATGTTACTTTTATGCTTTATGTACCTCAACAGCGCCGCAGCCCTGTTCCAATGGGTACAATTGCCTCCACGCGTCCAGTAGCCGTGAGGTCTCCGTGTCACTATCGCTCCACTCCCGACCTGTAATCGTGCCTTCCAGTCCGAATGGCGCAAGGATCACTGAAATAATAAAAAAAAAAATATTAAATAAATGTTTCATTTATGATATTCTGACCTGTGCCAGAACAAAGTAACGAGAATACGGGACACTATACAGAAAAGTCACATGAGAATAGGGGCTTTCAGTCCCGCTGGTTGTGCGCGTCCCGGGAAAAAACGTAGATTCGGTGCATTCTCGAAAATCCTGGTAAAACCGAGAAAAGTAAGTTTCCGTACTTATAGGCTAGGCATTTAAGTGGGCAAAACATGAAAACTCAAATAAAAAAATATTTATGAAAGATATTATGTTTTTATAGTGGCACGAAACAAAGAGCATTTAAAAAGCCCAAGAACGGGATAAATTTAGAAAATTTTGTTTTTCGAATTCAGAACGAATTCACCAAAAAATTTGGAACCTCGTCACATAGCGTCCACTATCTTACTAGTTGGTCTACTTAAGTCAAGTCATCAAATATTGCCTGTAAAATCTGTAAGAGACCTTTCAGTTAACAATGTTTACCTTTAGCATCGTTGTTATGATCGGGCGAGGTAGAAGCAGCGTGCCGCTGCAATTTCGCGCGCCGCTTGGCCGTCAGCGTGCGCACCGGTGGGTGTTGCCGGACATCTACTGAAGCACACACCGTGCTCTCGCCGTGCAGGAAAAACGCGAACGAGAACGACAGGTGCCATGGACTGGAAATAATTTATCAAAAAGCTATTAAAAACAGTCTTTAGGATATTGTGCAAGATCTTGATAAGAACTTTTTTTTCCCCTTAAAAATTCTAAATTTATCTTTTAGACTACGGGAGAGGCGAGAATCCAAAATAAATAACATACATAATAATGTTACAGTGGGATTTGCGACGTATTTATTATAATAAAATCATTCCGAGGGGACCCGTGCCCACCAGCACCACATATATAATAGTTCGAATGATGATGGTGTTATTATTATATTAATTTTATGCATTTGTACAATTATTTCTTTGGTACACCGATTAACCAATGTGTTTTCTGTATAACGCAGGCAGAAACTTATATTTATCTGTTTTTAACTTAAATGGTGTGGATTGTGAAAATGCTATGGGTTTCAGATAAAACACAAAATGTATGAAGAGGAACGAAGTTAAGCCCACTTGTCTCACTGGGATCAACACAGAGATCTTCAGAATTAATCTAGGAAGTTGTGTGTAGTTGTTGCCAACTACATTTGCAAACAGTCTACGGAAACTGCCTCAAATTTTACTTCCACTATATATAATAAATACAGTTAGGAGTATTTATTTAAAACAACGGTTATTGTATTATGTTTACGTACAAGGATTTGCAAATATGAGCACAGGAATGTAGTCTTTAGCAGTGATGCGATAATGACTAGTTAAGAGAGAAATTTTGAACCCTTTTGCTAATTTGTTGCGTTGTGTTATCATTGTTTTTTTTAATGTGCAATAACTAACAATATTTGAATCATTCATTGAATAATTCAAATTAAAACTTATTGTCATTCAAATCTCACTATTTAGTAAATGCAATATATATTATTTATAAACAGGGTTTCCCTAGTGCGGGTTTACTAGTGTGTGCGCGTTATATAATATTATTATTATTATTTGAGACGAAGAGAAAGCTACCTTTTTCCGACGTCTTCTTCGTCGCCATCGTAGGGCTGAACAAACCACTTGCCGAGCCTCACGAAGTCCCGCGACAACAGGCATCTGAAAATAGAAAACAATACTTAAAAAAATCTAATACAAAAGATCTGTAACAAACCCGTGGAGGAATTTGAAAAGTTTGCCGACTTATATAATTTATTATAAACCGAAGCATTACCCACAAAAAAGTGAAAATGATCAAATTGTTAGTTTGGCCCTTATACTTAGGACCCATCGAATACAGCTCAGTTGGTAGAGATGTGGCCCTAGTTTGGTATAAAGACACTGGTTCAAATCCTATCAGATTGAAGGAAATTTTCTTTGTGTTCCATCTTCATATTAATCATTATAGTTAGTACATGTCATTTGGTACACGCGGAGAAGTTTACTGATAGTCAACGATTATTAACACAGAAGTTTAATAGCAGTAGAGTCCGTTGTGAAAGAATTAGTCCAGGGAAGTACTGCCGCCAAACAGTGACGTTGAGCATTATTGCATTCCGGTTATGAAAGGTAAAGTTGCTGGTGCAATTACAGGCACATGGGACTCGTCAACTTATGTCTCAGGGTGCAAGGTGCAGGGTCAGTGTCCCTCACATCTTTGCGATTGAAAGACCTGAGTGGCACTACAACTGTTATGGATAGGCGTGTAGCTTAACCACCAGGCACACGACTTGCTCCTCCCGTCACTTTAAAATATAAAAAATTCAATTGAATATTTAATCATGAACAACCAAATCCATCAGAATATTTGCAGGTATTTAGTACAATGTATGCCTTTGGATTTCTATTTACGCAGCCAGAAACTACGGATATACACTTTGCACATCTCTCTTGTTTCACGTGTATTCATCAATCTATTCTCTATCCAGCGCTTTTAAAAATTTTCTTCATTTTATGTAGAATGTCCTTTTTTGTCCTCTTCCAATGTAGGCAACATTGACTCATTGCCACTATACAGCCATTCTTCAAAATTTATGAAAAAAATATAATATTCATTTATAACAAAAGTGTGTCAATAAGGAAGTCAAGACGTTCTTACAACGTATGAAGTTTACTTTGTACTTTTACAAGTACACTTACACACTCATACACGTACAAATAAATCAAACATAAATCACATATAACACACAATAAATTAAATTACGCCAGCATACAAAAGCCGAACACAGAAATTACTATATAAGTGTTCATAACACATTACCTAACGCTCAACACTGTATAACTTCATAACAAAGATTTTTTTCTTCTAATAATCCGTGGTCAATTGTTTTGTATTAAACTACTGCCTTATCTCATTGCACCTTGCATAGTTTTAGTCAGCTATTTTGTTATTAGACCATAGTCTATCCCTTTTATTACTAACTAAGTAACAACATAACGTAGAAATTTAAAATATTGAAAATCTATAATTTATTATATTGCATACATATATATTTACAAAAGAAGCTATGATTATAGAAGAATTGGTGTCTCATTTCGCTATTATAATAAACCTAAAGAAAGAACTCATTATTATTTATTAATATATGTATGTATGCTATTATCATAAGAATTGTCCGCAAACTTGGATACTTTAAGTACCTAGTAGCAGTAGAGCTCCAGAGAAGAAAGAAATAACTGCGTTCCGGTTTTGAAGTAAAAATAAAAAAAAAAGTAAAATTACAGGCACATGGGACTTGTCAACATATGTCTCAGGGTAACGGGTGCAGTGGGAGTGCCCCATAGATCTTTGCGATGTGAAGCTCTGAGTGGCATTGCAACTGTTATGGACAGGCGTGTCGCTTTCCACCAGATAAGCGACCTGTTCATCTCATTACTTGGTATCGTAAAAAAATCATTATAGGGAGAGTAATATGAAGAAGTTCTATTAAAGTTCGACGCAAAGTTAAAATCTACAGGAGCTATTTGCACTGGCAATCTATATGTTTAAAGTTATCAAGTTTTACATGCATTTAAAATAACACAATGCCCTTATGTTAAGCAATACGGTGCAGTCGGTCTCTCTCGGCAAAATTCCTAGTCAGCCATTTGCCGAACGGACATACCAACACCTGGTTTATTATGCAAGTGACTTATTTATTACTTGCTACGCGTTAGTTTTAATACATCTTTGGTGTACTAATGTCACAAGGCGAAAGGTTTCTACAAACACTTTTAAATCAGCTTGACTAAGAAGTTCGTTAATTTATTTCCAAAGAATAATCTATTTAATTGGATGGATAATTAATTTAGTTTAGGTGGAAGATCTGTGTAATGTTAATTCATTTTGCATATTCCGTAAAATTTACTTGATTAGAATGACAGATCGACAAATTATTATATTATATATCGAGTTCTTAGGTTTTCGCGATTGTTACACATAGGAAATGAAACTATTTTTCCGGATTTAAATCGTGTATATTTGTTTTTTCAAACAAACCGACGTTTCGGGCCCTTTACAGGTCCCATGGTCACGGTTGAGTCAACCGCGATTTAAATCCGGAAAAATAGTTTCATTTCCTATATTATATTATATTTATGACTTTTATATTTTTTTAACATACTTTAGATTAGTTAGGTTCCTTGTTTCCTGTGTAATTTTTGTGGAAATGTTTGAGATTTCTGTATAGTTTTTTACACTTCCCAATGGTACAAGGCATTAGCTTTACAAACGCAATAAAATCGTATTTAAAAAAATATAAATAGAGTTAAACATTTGAAAGTTCAAATATTTTAATCTAACCCCGTTTGTTTGTACACAGCGAAGTATCACTCACTCCGACCAATAGCGGTTTATTTTAAGCGTGCGCACGCAGCACTACGGCGCGTCGTAAACAACGCGCGCGCCCGCTCTACCAACAATGAATTAAATTGTCTCTTGCGCATAAAAACTTACAGTTTCTCTTTAAAAACATCAAGCGGTCGTGAATTAAAACTTGTGATAACAATCTCGGATTGTGTAAGTTATGATGGAAATGTATAATTACTCGTTGTTAAACTATTTTACTTAGATTTTTTATACTTTTCATTCATTTCATAAAGCCATTAGTTTACACTGTAACTGCTACTTAACATGCCAGACAATTGCCTGGTCTCAAACTAGGGAACTACGTGTGCTATGACTACACTTTGAGACACCTCTCAGAACACCCAGAATCAGTTTAGAAAAGTTCATTTCCGAAGTGGTCCTACAGCGATCGAAGTCGGGATCAGTGTCCACTGTATAAGCCGTTAGGCCACCGTGGTCTTTCTTTTTATAATATTAAGTGACGGGACGAATAAGCTGTGCGCCTGATGGTAAGCTACACGCCTGTTCATAACAGTTGCGGCGCCACTCAAGAGCTTTCGAGAAAAGATCTGACGAGCACTGCCACTGCGCCCGTGACCCTGAGAAATAAGTTGACAGGTCCCATGTGCCTGTAACTTCACCAGCGCCGTAAGGCTCAATTTATATTTGAGAAGAATTGAGAACATTCTCCTTTTTTGAAGTCGGTTAAAATATAAGTAAATAATAGAACTTACAGCTCAGATACGGGAAACAGGAGCCCAAATTTATAATAATAATAACGCACACACTCAACATAGCCCCGCATTAGGGAAACCCTGTGTCGCGGGTGCCATGGACACACACATAGACAACCACAAATTACATCCAAACTCACGAGAGAAATAAATGTAGGCCATACACATATTTCTCCAAGCTGGGAATCGAACCCAGGACCTCTGCATGGCAGTCCGGCATGGTAACCGTTCGGCCACGGAGGCAGTTTCAGTTTCAAATTAGGAAAATACTGTGCCAGTGCACTTCTGGCTACCCGTCTTGGTAATAGTAAAGGCAGTAAACAAAAAATACAGTTATTTGATAGAAAATTCAATAGAATAAAAACTCTGTTTACCTACAGTCATTAAATTATAGTTAGTAATTAAACTTAATAATATAATCGTAATTTCATACATAATCGATGGCGTAATAAACACTTCTTTCACACCCGTCTTTAATTTGTGTCCCATCTCGGACAGAAAATACTTCTTAATTGGTCGTTAGCTCTGCAATCCTCCTCGTGACTCTCAAACATACAGAGAGGGTTGATGAGCCGAACCATGGGGGATTTAAGCTGCTTGCTCGGGGTTCTTTGTATTTGTGTTCCAATAATACGGATAAAATCCATACAGGGTTAACAATAGTTAACTTATTTTTTATAATATCAAGTGACGGGACGAAGAAGTCGTGCGCCTGAAGCTACACGCCTGTCTATAACAGTTGCTGTGCCACGCAAAGCAAAGATCTGAGGGGCACTGCCACTGCCGTTATTTCACCAGCACCTTTACCCTTCAAAACCGGAACACAGTAATGCTGACTTTACTACTTGGCGGCAGAAATAGTTAAGGTTTTCCCAGGCCGACTCTCTCACAAGGAGCTCTACTGCTACCAAAGCTACTGTTTCTAGCACGGTTTGCTAAAAGACCCTGGTTCGAATCCAATTCGGATCGAAGGAATTATTTGTATTAATAATTATAACAAATTAGAGGAAGTAATAACACAAAAAAATAATTGAATATCAAGGTGATGAAACAGCACACAATGATGATTCTCATATACATTTACTAATTACAATTTACTTAGGAGCTTACTTTCATTAAAATAAATTGCCGTATGAGGCCATCTCTGCCTTGTAGGAGTCAAAGTCAAAGATTATTTATTCCATAGGTACATTGACTTACAATTATATGGACGTCGGGTCCGCGCTAAAAAGTGTCCGCACTTGTAAGGCGCTAAAATCGTATACAGAGCGCCAAACTCCGCTTTAGTCTTCATTTGTTCGACTGACAGCGCGATACTGCGATGACATTACAATTTAAATTTCGAATAAGTTGACTTGGGACATGTTTTTCGTGGTTTTTGTATTAGACCCGTCGACCATTTATTTGTAAGTCAATGCATAGGTAAAATAAATTTACACTTGAAAACGTCACATTTAAGCTACTGCTTGTTCACTACCTCCCTGAGAAGAACGAGCAAGAAACTCTAGGGATTGCTCTTTTCAAATTAACTTAAATGCTATGGAATACACTTTGAATCA